CACACACAAACACAAACACACACACACACATGCCGTCACACACACACACACAGACACAAACACACACACACACCCACACACGCACACACACCCACACACGCACACACACACGTGCTATGAACAATGAACGTGATTGTCTGTTGAACTTTGGCCAACACTCGCTCACAGAGTCACAGGAACTCCCGTACACGCCCATAGATGCACAGAAAAAGGGGGAGAGGTAGTGGAGTGTCCCACCGCCCAGAAGAAGAAACTCAACGGAAGACTCAGAGAAGCGAAGTGACAGAATACATAATTCAGTGAATTCTCTCCACAGCAATCATTCATAGATAACAACCGAGTGATCACAAGATTCACAACCAGAAAGCAATGGAGAGATGACAACTCAAACAAAGTATTAACACTGTTTATTGAACTCAGAGCATCGTTCAACTGAAACAACCTCAGAACCCTGTTGCGCTACCCTCAGATGGGTAGCGCCTCAACCCCAACACCCTGAAAAGCTAAAAACAGCAACGAAAGTTACTAAACCCCAGCCTCCCCAAGTAACACCCAGCGGGCCAGCGCCACCCTGACGTCCAACTCAGTGGCCTGCACGAAAGTGAAACAAGCTCCCAGAACCAATCGGCGATCGCCACTCAGATGATGAAGTGGAAGCTCAGCGCCAACAGTACCTGATGAAGATGAAGTCCAGACGATGATAATCTCTGAGAAGATGCAGCTATGGCTGGATCGCCACTGGGAGTCTGGGAGCCTAGGACCCTATTCCTGAGGAGGGTCAGCAGTGCAACATGTACTCCAACGCATCAGACCTCTGATAGCCCAGACCTCTGGTGTCCCGATCCTATCTATAATGTACATATAGCCTAGACCGACCTAGACCGGATTGACTGACCAGTTTTGGCCTCTAGGGCCTAACCCTACCCGGCTATAGGCTATAGGACCGTCTATCAGCATAGGCCCGTAGGGCCTGTCTGTCCTAGGGGTAGCCCGGGTCTGCTATTCACAGTTTGGGTAGCTGTAGGGAAAATGAAGTTCGTACTGGGCCCATATTTCTATATTTACAGATATGTCCCTCGCGAATTTTCCATACAGGCAGGTATCTCGGTCAGTCATCTGCCAAACAAAGAATGATAGAGAGCAGTGAACACACAGAGTGACACAGTCACACAGTCACACAGTGTTCCTCGACGAATTCTCACTCTCTGACAGACTCTCGAAAAGTTGTGAAAAACCAATCTCTCTCTCTCTCTCTCTCTCTCTCTCTCTCTCTCTCTCTCTCTCTCTCTCTCTCTCTCTCTCTCTCTCTCTCTCTCTCTCT